AGGCTTCCTGGAATCAGCCGCTGATCAGTTTCAGCAGCAGCTGACTTGGGGAAGCTTGGGGTTCTTAAGTTGAATCTGTATGTAAGTCAGAACTGGAGGTCAGTTTCAGCAGCAGCTGAATCTGGACGCCAGTTCCGACTTACATACAGATTCAACTTAAGAACAAACCTACAGTCCCTCTCTTGTACGTAACCCGGGGACTGCCTGTACTAGAATATTTTACAAGCTTCTGCAATAATAAATATTAATAAAGTGATTTATGAAACCATTTCACAATGAGTGTTAGCTTCTAAATGGCATTAATTGCCCAAAGGTATATTTTCACACCATGTTTGATTCCTTTAGTAATTTTCAATGTGCGTTCTATTCCACATATGACAAGGACTACACAGGATTTCATAAATGGCACTGTATGCCATCATACCAGATATGGAGCAAGAACACGACTCTCCTACCCCACAACTGAATGAGACTCCACATCATAACAAACCTGGCTTTGTTCCCAGCATCCATGAGGTCTGCAATGTCAGTATAGGAGGTGACAGCTAACTTGGAAAGGTCCTCCACGTAGGGTCCAAGCAGGGGGTGCTCTCGCACCCGCAAATTCCCCTTGTTCTTCGGGTTCAGTAAGTCTCTGACTCTCTCACAATAAATCTCCATGTAACTGACCTGTGAATAGATTTACATGGATAATTTACAGGTCTTGAAGCACTCACTTTCTGTTGAGACACGTTCACAGCAGCATTTTAGAACACCACTCTTAAGAAGCTGTATCGCTTAACTGAAATCCCATGATGAATAAAGAGTTTGTATCCCTGAGATATGGCAGAATACTTGGGCTTTATGTTAAATCGTATGTATTACCTGGAGGGGAGGGAGAGCAAATTACTTTCAGAGGACCTCACTTCTGGACCCAGAACACAAAGGTTAAATTAATATTTCTTTTAATTGAAGAGCCACTTTTGGTGTTCTCATATTTAGAGAGAAGCACACACTATAGGTCAGATGAAAACCCAGCTAACCATACTAATTATAGTTACATGTCAGACCTACAAACTAACTCCAGCATAATTACAAAGCTAAGATTCTTTTAAAATGCATAATTTTTAATTGTCTTGTTTCTCAGGGCATCAAGCTTATCCCACTGTAACAGATACTTAGTGACTTCAGCACCCAAGGTATTAGATGAAACAGTAAATTATTCACTTTCATTTGGTGGGAAGAACTCAAATGGAACAAGCAGTTTTAGAAATACAAAAAGGAATCACAAATATCTAACCAGGTCTAAAATCCAGAGACAAAGGAACTTAAATATCAAATGGGTCACTGTTGCCCAAGTAAACAACATTTACATAATTTCTTTATTCCAGTTCTACACCCCCACCCAGTTTGTCCCATGTCAATCCTCAGAAAGCCTGCCACTGCTATGAAGATCATTTTTTCTGGATTCCTTGCACATCCAGGACTCATCATCCATTCTTACATCAAATAGTGGAAACAGTCTGAAAGTATGTTGCACTCTTTCACTGGTATTAATCCTGCTGTCCCTTGAAAGTATGTTGCACTCTCCTTTCACTGGTATTAATCCTGCTGTCCCAGTAGCATTACCATTCTGATTAAGCTCAGATTCTGAAGTGACTAAATGCTTGAAAACCTATTAAACTGACCAAGTTTCATGACTTGTCTGGAAAGTGAGCAATTATATCTAAACACACTAAGCAGAACTGCCGAAGTGCTATTTTTAACAGTTCACATTTTAATCCTTTGTCAATTACGAACATAGATATCTTCCTGCACATTCACTTGGCTAGTAGCCAGGAAACTCCCTTTGTTCTAGGACTTAGCTCAGACAACTATTTCAGTGTGTTGGGGCTTAGTTTATAACATTCTCTTCCTATCATTTTTTTTCCAGTCTGTATCAATTGTGTCCACATTATGGAAGAGAATGGCACCCCTAGTAGCAGGCTAAAAGAAGATTCCTGAGTAAGACTACATCAAATATTCTAATAAATATAGGCTTAGTTCAGAACTCAAGCAATTAAAGGCAATTAACAGAGAACACACTGAATAGGTTTCCAACCAATAGTGATCAAATGTTTGCATGTTTATTCTATGGCTTTTCACATCCAGAATCACAAAAAGTTGGAATAGGGCTAGCTTTTATAATTTACTTGCCACTCACCATCCAAAGAGATTAGAGAAGGTGCATTGATATTCAGAATGTACCTTAGAAATGGTTTGCTCATACATTTGTGCCAAGTAAGAAAGGAAAGAGTCAGGTGCTCATGAACATATATAGCAGAAAATATCAATGATACAGTAGCTTCTTCAGATCAACTTCATGTCCACTAACAGGAGCATGCCTTAGTGTACTATGTACTCACCTCCACAGAATAGGATATCTCCTCATTACTGTTGTCATTGATTTTCTCAAACAGTTCTTCACATAGCTAGAAAGAAATTAAACCGGAGTCAGACAGCAGTCATGAGTAAACAACGACAAATAATTATTGTGACAATCTACTCCCCTCCTACTCTTCCCATCTCCAAAAGCCACTTCAATGACAAACAACCACTGCATAGTATCCTGGTAAAAATATAGTGAATCCCCCCTCCCCCAATCACTAATATTCAATCCTTTTATTTTTTCCTCTTATCAACTATGCCCTTGTTTCACCAATATCTGTCTGCAATATAAACATATAATTACTTAATATAAAGACCAGAAAAAGACAAGGTGGGTGAGCTAATATCTTCTAATAATCGATTGAACCAGCTTCTGTTGGAGAGTGAACTTTAAGTTTACCTTTCCCAGGCCTAAAGAAAAGCTCTGTGCAAGCTAAATTCAAGATGGATTGGACATATCAGGAGTGGGCAATAATTTCTGGTGGGGGGGGCCACTCCAAGATTTTTGGTAAGTGATCAAAGGCTGCACATTTCTGAGAAGGGAGTGCAGGGTCTAGGTTGTAGCTTGGGAGCAGAAGGGCACACAGGGTAAGCAACTGGGGTGCAGGAGACAGTGTGGAGTCTGAAAGGGTATTTGGGTGGAGGAGGGGGTTGACCTGGGTCAGGGAATTAGGGTGTTTGGGTACAGGAGAGGATTCTGGCCTGGGGGAGGGGTAGAGGAGGGAGCACAGGGTCTGGGAGGGAGTTGGGACCTGGGCAGGGGGTGCAGAGGGTTTGGATTGTCATTGGGGGAGGGAGTTGGGGTGCGGGAGGCAGGTGCTGGCTGGGAGGCATTTATCTAAGTGTCTCTTGGCCAGCAGGCTGCAGCACCCCCAAGGCAGGCTGGGCTCCCTGCCTGTTGCAGTCCCTGCCCGCTTGAAAGTACAGGCTGCTTCCTCCGCATGGCTCAAGAGGGTGGGGGGATGTAGGGGAGAAAAGGCTTGCACTGCCCCAAGTCTCTCAGATCAATCTCTGAGCTCCAACTGGCTGGCTGTTTCCAGCCAATAGGAGCTGACAGGTTGACTGAAGTCAGTTTTTACTGGCCAGTTGTTTCTGCCCAACAGGAGCGGAGGATTGGGCTGGGGGCAGGGAGATAGCGCGAAGCACACACACCCCTCCCTGAAGAGCAGGGTGTGGCATGGACTGGGTTCTAAATCGTGGCAGGTGCGTGCCTTACAGACCTGGCAAGGGGTTCCGTGGGCCAGATCCGACCACCAGGCCGTATTTTGCCCAGCCTTAAGATAACTGAGCATCTAACATGTTGCAAGAGACCTTTTGTCCTACAACTGTGGAGATGTTATCTGTTGGAGATTCTGACAGTCAACCTCAAATCTAGTGTATTAAGCCCGTGAATTTTGGCATTTAGCAAAGTAATGAATTTAAGTTCCCAGCATCATCTTTTGAAAGTATTGTGCAAGTTTCCTTTGAAGATGAGGTCAAAGTGTTTGTTTTGCAAAAAACATTTTGGCAGGGGCTAATGCCGCTGAGTTGGTGTATCCTGGTCTATGAGGAGCTTGCTTCTTTGAGTTTGGCAAGGTTGGAGGGCTGTATGAGGGCCAAAAGAGAGGACTTATGAAAAAACAGGTGGGGTTTCTGCTGAGCAAGAGTTGTAATTGTTTCATGATGTTCATAACGGTTCCTTCATTTGGTGGTAGGACAACAACTAGAGTCATTTCCACTACCATCCCCACTGAGGCAGGGTCTCTCCTACAACTGCAGACATCTGAAATGCTTCAGCTTGAATGCTTCTTTCGCAACATGTGTTAACTCTAACTGTTCCACCTTGTACTTAATGGTGAGACAGAGTACCTTTCCCTGACCTAAAGAAAAATCTCTGCAACTCCTCTTTCATCAACAGAAGTTGGTCCATTTATATTACCTTACCCTACCTTGTCTCTAATAGCCTGGGTTACGCCACCATAACACAAAAGTGATAGTAACAACTGAAATTAGAAAAACATGTTATACATTCTAGAGAATGAGATGACTGAAAATATTAAATCTTCTCCCATTTGTTTATAACTAATAAATATATCTGGTTATTTTTAGGAGAATAATCCTGAGAGTCCATTGTTTTGACAAAACCCAGAAATCAGATTTGAGGCAATTAGTAGCAACTTGTTCATATGAAGGATGCTGAAGCTACCTGGACAGACTATGTATGAGATTGTGCTTGTTTGAGGTTTGTGTTTTACCTATGGTGGCAGTGTGTTGCCCTGCACTGGCCCTTTAAGGAGCGGAGACCTAGAGTCAGGAGGAAGCCCAGCTGAGGCAGCTAACAAGGGCCCAGCTGGAAGCCATATAGAGCAGCTCCTGGGAGAAGGAGGAGAGACCTGCCTGCCTGCAATGAGAGGGGCTTCAGCCTAGCAAACCCAGGCTACTCAGCCTGAGGCCCAGGGCTGCAAGCAGGCAGTCATGGAGGGCGGAGCTCGCATGGAGACAGCCCAAAAAGGCTGGACTGCAAAATGGCAGTTGCTATAGGCTGGGGGAGCCAGGGAAGCCCCAGGCCATAAGTCCGCAAGGCAAGGTTGCAGGAGGCAACCAGGCAGGCAGACTGGGAGAAGAACCGGGGGTCCTAGGGAGGACCCTGGAGGAGGAGCGGAGGAAGAACAATGACTCCCCCCTCCCCGAAGGGGGCGCGGACCAAGACCAGGAGTGGTCACTCCTGGAGGGCAGTGCCCCGAAGACACCCAAATGGGGTGTTTCGGAGCAGCCAACTACTTCCCCAAAAGCCACCTTGAGGGAAGAAGCTATGCTGAAAGTGAGTTGAACCCGCTACGCTTTTTAAAATTAAGACAACAAATGAAGCTATGTATAATGGACCAGAATGTGTTACAGCAAGAAATGCATACAAAGATTTTGAACTGCAGTGGGTGGAGGAAAGGCGGGTATAGAGAAGAACAGAAGTAGGACTCAGAGGCATCAGTGTAAGGATAAATCGACTTAGGCCTTTTACAGAGCTGTAACTTTATGGCTCAGCCGTGTGAAAAACGTCACCACCATGCCAAGTGCAGCAAGTTGCAGAACTGTAAAGCACAAGTGTGGCATTAGCTACTCCCCTCATGGAGGTTGCTTACATAGAGCCTTGGAGACCTCTCTTCCAGCACTTCTGCCATGGTCACGCTTTCAGGTTAAAGCACTGTCACGTAGGTATGTTAGCTCTTGGGTAACTGAATAGTTGACTAACCGCATGAATTCTTAGCGATTAGTCAACTATACTATAGTCTACCAGGGGCAGGACCAGCTGATATAGAGGCAACAAAGGGCTTGGGAATGAAAGCTGTTGACTAGATTAACGGATCAGACTAGTCGACTGTTCGTTCACATCCCTAGTGCCATGGCTGCACTTTAAACTTAAGTGTAGACAGAACCTAAACAAGCTATTACAATCAAGACATGCAGCGGTGTGGACACAGCATCAGATTTTAGCAGCACAGAATCCAAACAGTAAGTCAGTGCATAGTTTTAAGATACCACTATTTTACACTTCTACATACATATCAGAGGTTGGCTGATGAGGGACCTAGTAAATATGAGAAAGTGGAAGACCACAATCTGCATTTGTGCATGGAGGATGATTTTTGCCCCTCCTGCATATTTTTTAGTGCAGGGAAGGCAGAGAAATCAGTAAGTATATCTCAGACAGAAATATGTTAGTTTCGTTTGATTTTGTTCCTCTGTGGGATAATCGCTCAAGATATAACTGGAGGGAGGGAGTTACATGGCCTTTGATTTGAATATTCTTCGGAAACTGAAAAGTAATTTTAGCATCCCCAAATTAACAACAGAAAAACAAATGAACAAAGTCTTTGAACCGATTTCAGGTGGTATGCTCAAAAAGGGTGTTACATTCACAGAAGGAAAACAAGGTGTTAGATGTAAATGTCAGCCACATGTTTGGGAAAACTTTAATCACAATAGTGTGAAGAAAGTAATTAATAGAAAATGTCATCTAACCTATGCGCCACTGCTGGAGGCAACAGAACAACTGCTATGCATTTGACCGCAGCGTTTTAAGCCATCCACAGAGAGCAATGGTTTCTGTGGTCTATTTCGTACCTGACTTTCCACTTTAACAGGAAAACTCCTTCCAAAACATGCACAACATATCACCAATGCCAGGACAACAAAGCTAGCCTGAGTGTGGCAAAAGCACCATGCAGCCAACAACTACAGCAACTTGAACATTAGCTAGACCTAGTATAGCCTTAATGAAATATCAGCCATGAATTTCTCAAGGCATTCTTTCAGGATCTTTATATCTCAACATTCCTACCTACTTTATTTGTGTAACCTATATGAAAATATATATACACACACTGCTGAAGTGCAGCATTTATTTTCCAGGGTGAAACAAAGACAAAACAGATTTTCCAGACTTTGCACTCATTACAAGTGTTTCATCAATGACACTATCTCTTGGATTCTTGCTGAATAAGCATTTCTGTACTGTAAACAATTGGAACGAAAGCCAAAATCTCAGTAGAATCAGACATTTACATTCCTCAATTATTTTTTGTTTTGGAAGAACAACAAGGGGCAGATGCTGCACCAAGTATTTTGTTCTTGGTTTACAAATCTGTAGAACTATTTTGTTTAGAATAATTTTTCTAATTTCTCCTATATTTGAGTCATTCATTCTTACCATTTTAATTGCTAGAGGTTAAAGGTGAAAAGTTATACATCTGCTAAACACAAAATATATGCCCTATTTATTTTACAAAAATGGCTAAGTTTAAACAGCTGAGAAATATTTGCAACCAAGTTATGCTGTACCATGCTGGTTTTCTTGCTAGTATAAACAGAAAACATGATTTCATAGTCATGTTAGACATCAGTGGTAATCTGTGTCAAAACTGACTGCACTAGATCCAAGGTCTATGCTTTCCCTCCTGAAAAGTAAGATTTGGTTCTTTGTGAACCACTACTACAAAAACAAGCAATAGTCCTGTGGCACCTGAGAGACTAACAAATAAATATACAGGCAGTCCCTGGGTTACATGGATCCGACTTACATCGGATCCCTACTTACAAACGGGGTGAGGCAACCCCACACTAGCTGCTTCCCCCCAGCAGACCAGGGAGACGCGGAGCGGCTTTTCTCAGCAGACACCTCAGCTTGAGAATAAAGGACTGTGAGAAGTGAGGTGTGGGAGAATAAAACTGAGCTCTGGAGAAATGTTTGGCTAGAGTTTCCTCTACAATATGTACCAGTTCTGACTTACATACAAATTCAACTTAAGAACAAACCTACAGTCCCTATCTTGTACGTAACCCGGGGACTGCCTTTATTTATTTATTTATTTATTTATATGATCATGAGCTTTCGTGGGCCTCTCCAGCTCATCTGATGAATGGGCTTTCGTGGGCCTCTCCAGCTCATCTGATGAAGCGGGTTTTGCCCATGGAAGCCATTTTTCTAAGTCTCTCAGGCTAGGTCTAGACTACAATTTGCATAGCTTTTCAATCACTTTTGCGGAAGAGGCTTTTCTGCCATTTGGCCCAGTCAAGACAGAGCCAAATGGCAGAAAAGCCCCCTCTTTTAGCAGAGCCCTTATGCCTTGTGAAACGAGGTATTCAGGGCTCCCTGAAAGAAAAGCACATTTGCTCTTCCACAAAAAAGCGAAACAGCAAATGCATTCCTTGGACGCAGCAGGGTTTTGCGGGATACCGCCGTAGTCTAGATGTAGCCTTAGGTGCCACAGGACTACTTGTTTTTAAAGTTACAAACTAACATGTCTAGCCCTCTGAGACATTATGACAAGGTAACAAATGACAGAGTATTAAACATTTAAATATGTTTTGTCAAGTAATTACCCAGCATTGGTCTTGTTACCTGTGGGATGATGCCTGCCTGGCTTTCCTCCTGTTTGCCCATCATGGTGTAGGATTTCCCAGCTCCAGTCTGCCCATAGGCAAATATACACACATTGTAGCCTTCAAAGGCATGCAAGAGCATCTCTTTCCCAATGTCATTGTACACACGGTTCTGAGACGCAAAGCAGGGATCTTCAGGCTGCAAAGATTAAAAGAAAATAAATATTGCTTTCTACTGCCAGAGGTCTAACTCCAGAAAAGTGTAGTTGTTGGGATGTAAGTGACTTGTTGAGTCAACTACTTGACTCCTTGCATTTCCCCCTCCTCCTTGAGGCAGCAAGGAAAGGGAAGCAGTAGGGATGTTAAATGTAGATCAATCAACTAATTCAACAGTCAATGGAATTTCCATCAACTGCTCAATTAGTCGATAAGGGCGCCTCCACCTTTGAAATGTACAAGCTTGTTTTCTCCCCCTCTTTGCCCCCCAAGCTCTCTTGTAGTAAAAGGGCTTGAGGGTACCCCATGGAAGAAGTCCAAGTGCTTTCTTTCAGGCTTCAAGAAAGAGGGTTTTTTGTTTCACTTAGCGGTGGCAGCTACCTCCCGAAGTCAGTGAATCTGTGACCTTAGGGAGCTTTTAGGCAGAAGCCTATAGAGGCAAGTTATTTTTAAGGTCTCTGGCAGGCCCCCAACTTCTGCCCTTGAAGTGCCAGAGTGTGGAATAGCCCTGACACCTTCTCTAGCTATAGAAGCCCTTTTTCACTTATTTGGGAATAGTATCCTTTATGTAACCTATTATACATTTCAAGTGAAACTAACTACAAATTTTATGCTTCATCGATTAGAAAATATTACACTGATGGTGTAAAACCACAATGCATACTTTTTGTAGGAGTATAATTTTAGTGATCACTCAGTCTCTCCCATCTTACCAGTGAATGCTGACAATATTTTTTTTTAAGAACCGTCATGATGTAAAAGGAGTTCTGATTGATTTTAATATTAGACTGAAACTTTTTTAATAGAAAGCGTTTCTTGAAGATGCATGTGACCTAAAATGACAGCAAAAGCTGTGGCTACAAAAGTCATGTTTTCATACATTAGGGTGTAGTCTGTATAGCGCACATAGCATTTTGCCTTCCTGATGACCTACATAGTTGCAAAGTTTCTCTGCAACTACTTTATTTAATAAGAGGTTTCATTAAAAAGTTCTGTGCATATTTAAAGTTTGAGCTTTGTTCAAGAAGACATTATGGTTGACGACCAATGAAGAAATGTCAAATTATCTTTCCATCAGCCAAACTAAATGCTGATGTCAGCAGATGATAAAAAGGATATCTTCTCCACCTTTTAAGAAAGCAGGAGAGAGGACCTAATGCAGAACTGCTATACAACAAGCGCTGAAAGTCAGCAAGACTTCAGATCTAGTTCTCTGGAGGAGCTGGGCACAATGTTTAGAGGACAAAAGTTTATTGTTTATCGTTATAGGAAATGTGGACCATCATCCTTGCTTTTCCTGGTAAGCCAGTTATTTCATTGTGCCAAAGATTTTTTTTTTTAAAGTCTTTAACTTTTCAGTTGTAATTTCTGTTGGAAAAAGGTACTTTTGTGGCTGAAGTTCCACTATGCAGCTGCTTGAACCAATACATTTTTCTATGCCTTTCCCTTCCTCTCTCTTTCAGGCACTCATACTATGTTCTCAGAACCTCAGACCTTACTCTTCACGTTCCCAGGATTGAAAAAGTCTAGAATATAGAGTCAGAGCTCTGAACTTGTATAATTCAATACAGACTTTGTAAAAGCAGATGGCTGAAGTGGGGTGTCAGGAGACAATCCAAGCCAGTCTAATCAGTAAACAGTATTTTTTACGATTGTATATTCAGAAACTTACCGAGGTGTGAGACCAGTACGAGTAGTCAAAGCTGAAGGACTTTGGTGCTTCCTTGGGATTCTTTGGGTTGATAATACCTACAAGAAACAATATTCAAACTCAGCTATGGCATTTAGGGACATAAAATGAAAATCAATGTAGATAATAGCAACAGCAAGAAACATTATGACAACTGACCCTTAGACCCAGACAATACATTTGTCTTTACTTTATACATTACACTGAGGGACATATGGTCACAAGGTGTGTTCATACCACAACCTCACAAAAACAATATTTCTGTAGGGGCACCTTGAAGTAAGCTATGGAATGGTTTATACAGTCATAAGGAAATGCACTTACTAAACAAATTTTCATAAGCAGTGTTTCAAGAGATGTAAATAAGTTATCCTGCTAGTTCAATCTTTGGTCTAGTGAAGATTTTTCAAGGGGGGAGGAGGAGAAGGGGAAGTATAAAAGAAAGAGCCAAAACTCACAAAAGCTTGAGGCCCTTCAATAAAGAAAAGCTTAAGAGACCTGGGTTTTCACAACAAGACTGAAGCTTATTTTGAAATTCATGTTACAGTTTAAGGATGAAAGCCCCTGGCCTACGGATTTTCTTTCAGAGTCTCAGGATTCTACATGGTATTGTGGGAGGCAATAAAAGGAACTGGAGGAAGATCTACAACCATTTCAAGGATTACATGGATGTGACATATTACAACATTCTTCTACAAATAAAATATGTGCAGAGCCCACACAGAGATTTTAATAGGACTGACATTAAACGAACTAAGTTAAACTATTTGTAAACCTTGTCTTCTGCATATGGCTATTCAATCCCACAAAAACCTGAATCAAATCCTGCTTTTATTCCCAAATATCAGCAGTAAGGCAATATTTCATCCTTTGGAACCAAGACTAATTTTTCTGGTTTGATTTGTGTGAGCTTTCTGTTACTAGACAAGAAACAAACATCATATATATAGTTTGCTACTGCCTTCTGAAGGAACTGTACAAGTTTAGAGCCTTAACTGTCTCAAAAACAGAGCTATAGTCTCCTTACTACGGTCTCACTAAAGGTACTGAAAATATCTAAGGGTCAATCATTAGTTTATCTAATATTGGTACATCACTGCAAGACTCCATATTTTAAAAATGGACTTTCAAACGTGTTGCTTCAGTCAGTAATACACGTGTAGACTTGGAAGAATTAGATTTTTATTAGTAAATGCTTATTTCACTGTACACTGACTATATATTTCTGTAATAGAACTTAGAGAGAGATGAAACTTAAGGGCTTCGTCTAGACTGGCATGATTTTCCGCAAATGCTTTTAACGGAAAAGTTTTTCCGTTAAAAGCATTTGCTGAAAAGAGCGTCTAGATTGGCACGGATGCTATTCCGCAAAAGTACTTTTTGCAGAAAAACGTCCGTGCCGATCTAGATGTGGTTTTGCGCAAGAAAGCCCCAAATGCCATTTTCGCGATCACTGCTTTTTTGCACAAAACAATACCGCGTTGTCTAATTGGCCCTCTTGCACAAAAGCATTTGCTTATCAGATAGTCGATTAATCAACTAGTCGTTCACATACCTAATGGAATATGTTCACATTTGGTCTTATGTGACATAGCAGTATTATCCTATCACAACCCATCTCCCTTTGGGTTGCAGTTGGACAGTATCCGTAAGAAATTTCAAGTGCTTTCACCCCTGCTTACAGATGTCCAAAGAACTGTGATGAAGTTATCTGAGCTGCTGCCTCCAGAATTTTCTCCAATTATGAACACGTAAATCTAAAAAGTGCTTGAAATGCATCTGTGAAATTATAAAAACTAATAATCAAATTCTATCAAGCCCATATGTAGAATTCCTCTTCCCTCCATGCACACATCAAAACACTCATTAATTCCCTACATCTTTCCCAGTCCCCAAATGCATCAATTTCTCTGCTGTCCGCACCTGCCTCGCCCCCTGTGAAGATTGACCACTCCACAAAAATTCAATTGGTGTCTAGTAGTAGTTGTCAATTGGTGTCTAGCTGGGGGGAAAGCAGTCCACTATGGCATGAGTTCTGAGAGTCCTAAGTTGCAATGCCTTTGGTTCTGAAGCTGAGAAGAGCCTCTCAGTTTGTGGAACCAACTCTTCCCTGCTTAGGTCTGAGGGAAAGTAGAATAAGGTTCCAGTCTAAGATCAGGTTTAAACTAGAACTGGAAGGTTGGATTAAGGTATGCAACTCCAGTTACGTAAAACACATAGCTGGAGTTGACATACCTTAAGCTGAGCTTGGTGCAGTCTTCAGAGAGGGAGGCTGACAGGAGAAAATGCACCCATCTGCTTCCCTTACTCCTCACAACTGCCCATAGCATTCGACTGGTCAGCATAACTAGAACCACTAAAACAAAACAGCAGAAGACCGATCTCCAGCATGACAAGTAATGCAGGGTAGTGGTGGTTGGAGATTCTATTCTGAAGGGGACGGACGCACCCATCTGTCACCCTGACATGACATATCAGGAAATATGCTGCCTGCCAGGGGCCTGTATCTAAGATGTTACGGAGGGATTGTGGAGGATTACCCAGTCCTCGGATTACTATCTCATGCTACTTATCCATGTGGGCACAAATGATACTGCAAGGTGTGATCTTGAGCAGATCAAGTGTGACTATAGGGCTCTGCAAGTATGGGTAAAGGAATCTGGTATTTTCTTCAGTCTCTCCTGTCAAAGGTAGGGGCCCAGAGACAGGTGCATCTTTGAGGTGAATGCATGGCTGCAAAGATTGTATCTCCAGGAAGGCTTTGGCTTCCTTGACCACAGGATGCTGTTCCAAGAAAGAGGACTGCTAAGCAGGGACTGGGTTCACCTTTCAAGGAAAGGGAAGAGAGTATTTGGATAAACAGCTAACCTACTGAGGGCGGCTTGAAATTCGGTTCAAAGGGGGCAGATGACCAAAGCCCGCAAGTGAAAAACATGGAGCTCTGGGAGATGGGTCAGAAATAGGAGGAAGAAGAACATGGGCTACAATAGCAGAGATAAAGGAGGGAAAAAGCAGAACTAGAGGACAATCAAATCAGTTATCTTAAATGTCTGTATACAAACGCAAGAAGTATGGGAAATAAGCAGAAAGAACTTGAAGGGCTAATTAATAAATACAACCATAACAGTTGGTATCACAGACTTGGTGGAATAATACACACGATTGGAATATTGGTATAGAAGAGTACAGCTTGCTCAGGAACGACAGACATGGGGGAAAAGGAAGGTGTTACTGCCTTATATATAAAAAATGTATACACTTAGACTGAGGTTGAGCTGTTCATAGGAGAAAGACTGGGTCAGGTTACAGGGATAAAAAACAAGGGTGGTGTCATGGTAGGAGGTCTACTACAGACTACCTACCCAGGTAGAAGTGGATGAAGCTTTTTTTTGAACTAACAAAAACAACGAAAGCACAGGATTTGGTGGTGATGGGGGACTTCAACTATACACAGCAGGGCACAGATTATCCAATCAATGCAGTCCAAAAACTTGAGACAAATTTTTTATTTCAGAAGGCTAAGAAAGCTTGATAGGGAGGAACTGGTTGAAAAATCTGAAAGTGGAAGGCAGCTTAGGTGAAAGTGATATGAAATCAGAGTTCATGATTCTAAGGAATGGTAGAAAGGAGAACAGCAAAATCTAACAGATTTCGGGAAAGCAGATTTTAGTGAACAGAGAGCTGGTAGGTAAAGTCCCATGGGAAGCAAGACTAAGAGGAAAAACAATTGAAAACCGTTCGCAATTTTTCATAAGGACATCAAGGGCCCAAAAGGAAACTATTCTACTGCACAGGAAAGAGAGAGAGTAGGGCAAGAGACCACCTTGGCTTAACCAAGAGATCTTATGAGATATAAAGATCAAAAAGGAGTTGTGTAAAAAAGTAGGTCAAATTACGAAGGATTAATATAAAATAAACACAAATACGCAGGGGAAGGATTAGAAAGACAAAAGCACAAAATAAGCTTCATCTAGCTAGAGCAGTGTTTCCCAATTTTATTTGGCCACTGAACCCTTTTCTGCTTAAAATAATTTCAAGGAACCCCTAGGGTTCCCAAGGTAAAATTTGGCAAGAAAAAAAAAAAACCACCCGTCAGAATTGGTCGCGCAAAAAAATCCTGCAAAATACACTGTCTCTTTAAGGGGGGCAGGGCAATGCCACATTTTCATGGAACCCTTACTTTCACTTCGCGGAACCCCGGGGTTCCACGGAGCACCAATTGGGAAACACTGAGCTAGAGACATAAAATGTAACAAGAAAACATTCTACAAATATATTAAAAGCAAGAGGAAGATACGAACAGGGTAGGCCCATTGATGCTACATGAAGAGGGAGAAACAACAACAGTAAACTTGGAAATGGCAGAGGTGCTTAAGGACTTGTTTTGGTTTTCACCAGGAACACTGATAATGATGGGATGCCTAATAGTGAATGCTAGTGGAAACAAGGTAGGTTTAGAAGTTAAATAAAAAAACCCACGTTAAAAATTACTTAGAAAAAGTTAGTTCTCTTCAAGTCACCAGGGCCGGATTAAATGCATCCTAGAAGACTCAAGGAGCTGATAGAGGAGGTATTTGAGACTTTAGCCATCATCTATGAAATGTCATGGAAGCAGGGAGAGATTCCAGGAGACTGGAAAAGGGCAAATTAGTGCCAATCTATAAAATGGGAAACAAGAACAAGCCAGGAAACTACAGACCAGTCAGTTTAACATCTGTGCCAGAGAAAATAATGCAGCAAATAATTAAGAGATACATCTGGAAGAAAATAAGGTGATAGGTAACAGCCAGCATGGATTTGTAAACAACAAATCATGTCAAGTCAATCTGATACCTTTATTTGATAGGAGAACCAGTCTTGTGGAGAAGGGAGAAGCGGTGGACATGGCAAACCTAGACTTTACTAAAGAATGCGATAGTCTCACATGACTTTATCAATAAACTAGGGTAATACAACCTAGATAGGGCTACTATAAGGTAGGTGCATAACTAACGGGCTGAATAACTGTTCTCAGAGAGTAGTTATTAATGGTTGACAGTCATACTGGAAGGGTATAACA